ATTCTCTCCCCACAGCCCCTTGGGCTAGAGAAGCTAAGCTCCCCACAGCCATTCTGCCCGAAGGCCAAGCACCCAGCAGGGGCCCTTGATCCGGGGACCATGAAACCACAAGGATTTGTGGGCAGAGTTCAGGGGGTCTATGAACTTGGAAAAACTTGACGCCATTATTTTTACCAACCTGAAATTGAGCATTTCTTCCAATCATGAATGTGGACAACCCCCCCAAGACCCTGAAGGGCCTTGGCACTCACCAGACTCGGCAGAGGGGTCCGTGACACAACACAAGGTTAGAGCTCCTGTGCCAGCAGCTTAGCCAAACGGCAGGCCCAGCCTGTGACCCCCCCATCTGCCTTGCTGCTGGAGCACTGGCATCGGTCAGTGGGGCTGGAGCAATGTCAGATTCCTCCCTGACCTGGGAGGCTGATGGCAACAAGAGGGCACCAGCCTCCCCAAAAGGCCTGCTGGAAGACTCCAAGTGTGCCCAGTGCTGACGTGACCCAGGGCCTACTGCACCCTCAGGGGCCGGCCACTCGGAGCGCCCAGCCAGCGGTCTGGGGACGCGCTCTGCACTAGGCTCACAGAGAAGTAGATGGCCTGATGGACGTGGCCCGAAGCCTCCGGAACAAAAATCCACCAGGCCCCCCGCCATCCCCCACCCCTTGATGGCACAGATGCCACCTTCAGAGGCAAATCTTGGTCTAAAGCCCCAGCGTCTCGGAGCTTGCCTCCCCCATCACCGGCCTGTAACTCGCCAAGCCCCCGCCAGCCCCTTCCAGACCTCCCTCTTTCTGCTGCAGGCTCCCCCTTCCCATTCACCACCGCTCACCTCACCCACACAGCCAGAGGTACCAAATCTTGCTCTCTGTCCCCCCAGCAGCCCCTTCTCTGCTCACACCTGCATCATCCCAATGGCCTTCCCATTAACTCCCACGCGCTCCCTTAAATGCAGACTGACCGTCACCCTACTCAGCGAGCTCCATGCGTTCCGTCCTGCTCAGCCCTTCTCGGCAGGGCCTGGAACACACTCTCTGGTCTCCTGACGGAGGCACCCTCAGCAGCATCTTCTCTGTGAAGGCTGACATGATGAAGCTGTTAGTGGCCTCCCTCCTTGGCGACCTCATGCTGACTCTGGACACGCTGATGCACGCACATCCTGGTGGCTCCTCCATCTGATTAAGCTCCCTGAGTGCAGAGTTTCTATGCCCGGTCTTCACACCATGCATGCCCTTGGACCTCGCAATGCCACTGCAAGGCCTATGCTAGCAGCAGTTGGTGGCATCCAGCAGGCCCGACCTCAGACGCTAGCTGGGCGACTTTGGGTGAGTCACCGCCTAAGCTCAGTCTGCTCAGTTTCTTCACATGTAAAATTGGGCTCATAAATAGCAGTTGTCGTGAGGATCAAATATTTGTAAATGCACTTAGCACAGTGCCTGGAACATCGTAGGCACTGTACAGAAGTGCTTCTTGTCTTTCCCCCAGTACCTCAGAGATTAAAGGAAGGAAAAGGACCCCATGTACAAAAATATTTATAACAGCTGTTTTTGTGGTGGCAAGGAACGAGAAAACCAAGCAGAAAGCCCGCGCCCAAGTGGGGAACAGCTGACCACGTCCTGGTGTGTGCATGGGATGGAGCATTCTCGTGCTGTAAGAAATGGTGAGGGGGATGGTTTCAAAGAAACCTGGGAAGACGTATATGACTGATGCAGAGGAAGTGAGCAGAACCAGAACAACTCTAATCAAACCCTCCTCCCAACCAAACAAGGCTAGTGCCACACTCTGTTTGCTTGACTCTCCGGGTCTGGTACGAGGCTTTTGATTTTCTTTCTCTTGAATGGGATGGGATGGGAGGGGGGGTTGGGAAGGAGAGAAAGTGGATTTTCATTATATGATTTTAAAAAAAAATTTAAAGCGCACGGAGTTTTATTTTTTGGGACTTGTACCCCCATTGCCTGAGCACAGTGTCTGGTACCCAGTAAATACTTAACACCTGGAGAGTGATTTAGAACTCTGCCCACAGGGCCATCAAACCCTGCACACCCTTGGGCCCAGCAATACCACTACTAGGCCTGTACCCCAAAGAGATCAAAGAAAAAGGAAAAGGCGGGGCAGCTAGATGGCATAGTGGATAGAGCACCGGCCCTGGATTCGGGAAGACCTGAGTTCAAATCAGGCCTAGACACTTACTAGCTGTGTGACCCTGGGCAAGTCACTTCACCTTCTTTGCCTCATCTGTAAAATGAGCTGGAGAAGGAAATGGCACACCGCTCCAGGATCTTTGTCAATGAGAATCAGGCACAACTCGGACCCCTGTACCCAGCAGCAGCAATACTGTATATGATAACGCCCCGTAAATGACTTGGCTATTCCTACCAATACAATGAGCCAAGACAATTCCAAAGGGCTCACGATGAAAAAAGCTATTCGGAGAGAGACCCGACGAACTCTGAGGGCAGACTGAGGCACATTTAAAAAAAAACAAACTTCATTTTTCTTGGTTTTTAGTTTTTTCATGACATGGCTAATACGGAAATGTTTTGCATGACTATATCAAATTGCTTGCCTTCTCAAGGAGAGGGAAAGGCAGAGAGGGAGAGAATTTGGAACTAAAAACTTTTAGTAGTATTTTATTTTTTCCAATTACATGTAAAGACAATTTTTAACATTCATTTTTTTAAAAAAATTTTGAATTCCAAATTTTCTCCCCCCCGCCTTCCCTCCTCCCTAAGACAGTAAGCAATTTGATGAAGGTTATATATGTGCAATCATGTAAAACATACATACATATTAGTCACGTCATGAAAGAAGAAACAGACCAAAAGAAAAAACCACACAAAAAATTTTAAGTGAAAATAATATGCTTCGATACATATTCAGACTCCATCAGGAACTGAGAGGTCAAAAATTGTTCTTACATGTAGCTGGAAAACCAGAATATGAATATAAACAAAGACGGCACATTCCCTTTTCTGGCACGGCCACTGATTTACCACAAAATCGCCCACTCAGAGGCCATGCACTCTTGGGCATGATCACCTCTCCTGCCCACAAAGCCCTTCCTTGTGAGAGCCCCCACGCTAGGTACATGTGGGGCGAGGGATGAGGAGCTTTGAGTTGGCATAGGTGGCACCAGTCCATTGAAGGGTGGGCACATGTGCCCATTGACAACCCCATGGAGAGGGGCTGGGGTGGCATCCATTGGGCACACTCGATAACAGCCTTCTGTGACCAGGGGAGGGGGGGGTCCCAGGCCAGTCTCTGCACTGAAGTGGGATGGTCACTGGCTTCATCCATGGGGCCAGCAGCCACCTCTTTGTGCCAGTGTATAAAAGCTCTTCATCCCAGACTGGGCCTTTCTTACCCCTTTGCCTTTCCCCACAGACCCGCTGAACAGCAGAGCTAAAAACAGACTTGGGTTCTTTGGGGAGGGGAGGGAAGACTGGGCAGAGGGCTTGGCAGAATCTGAACCCTGCTCTCAACCCTGTGGCCCAAGAGGAGAGTTCCCAGACCCCAACCCTGTGGCTGTGGGAAGCTAGCGGCATCACCTCTGTACAAAAGATGACAGCTATGGAGAGGACCCCACTTGGTCCAAGCAGTAACGTCCCAGAACCTGCCTCCTGGATAGAGGCATGATGCCAGCATCATCTTCCAGAAAGAGCGGCGATCAGCTCTTGGCAGAGAAGACGCCATCACGAAAGCCAGGGGGTGAAATCCAAGCCATAGCGGAGCAAAAGGCCCTCCAATGAGCTGTCTGGCCAGCACGGGTCTTCATGCTCGCCTACTCATCCCACATTCACTTACCCTCTGCAGAGAACCCAAGCATTAAAGGTGGTGCTGTCAGGCTGGATCTGAAAGTGGGACTCCCCAGGTTCCCCATCAAGCCTCTCCAAAGAGGATTCCCCAAAGGACAAATTCACACACTTGGGGGAGAACAAGGTGGCCGGGTGCCTCTAGGGGTGTCTGGGACAAAAAATGGGCTGGCTGCCCTCCTAGGAGGCCCAAACTGCTTTCCCCTCTGACAGGGGACCCAAGACACAGGGTGCTGTTGACCAGGACGGCCCTCACTCGAGAGGAGACTCATTCTGGCCGTCTGGAGGCTCCTGATGAGTCCCTGAACTTTCTGTAGATGAAATACAGGCTGTCCTGCGCCAACATACACCTTTCTACCTTGGGTACTTGTACGGGAGCCAGGACCCTTTTATCTGCATTTGAGAAAACCTGGACACAAGTGCTTTCAACTGCATTCTAAATTTCCCAGGAGCAGCTCTGGGGAGTTACCTCATGGGGATGGCACGAGCCAGAGAGGGTGATTTTGCGTGAGTCCCCAAGAGTGAAGCCCGGAGCTCGGGGTGCAGGGCTGCTGCTTATGGGGCGGCTCTGCACTTCCTTCCCTGTCTCTGTGCTGCGTGCATCTTTGTAGCCCCAGAACCGAAGCGGTGCCTTCCAACGTGGGGAACGCGTACTAAATACGCCTGGACGGGACTGCCCCACCCGTGGACCGTCCGGGGCCCCCTCTGGCTTCCCTCCCCACATCTGGCAATTCTTTCTCCTCAAGCCCCGTGGGAGGTGGGGGGCATTTTTCAAATGAGGAAACTGAGGGCCAGAGAAGGTGATGAGCTTCCTGCAGTCACACATCACAAAGCAATGACCCAGCAGCAGCTCACAGCCTTCCTTCCAATGACTCCCCACAAAGTTTTCCAACTGAAGGGAACCATGTGGCAAAACAGGGAGGGTCCTCTGCTGGGCATGCCAGGAGCTGCGTTCCAATCCTGGCTCTGGCATCACCTGCTCTGGGGCTTCTCTCTGGATTATCCTGTCTGCAGTCTGTCCACAGTCGCCAGCAGGGGAGCTGCTCAGGGCCTGAGCTTGGCGCACAGAGGTGCTTAACTGACTGCTTGACCTCTGTGGGTGTGGCCTGTAGATAGAGGAGGGCCGGACCAGATGGTCTCCTGCCCGGCACTCCAGCTCTAAATACTCTGGACTCACCACAAGCAAACGGAATGCAGAGGGAGAATCAGTCTGTATTTGATTCATGCGCAAAGGTGTCCAGAGGGAAGAGGGATGTAGGCACCGTGTGGCTGATGGGGGCTGGAGCCCGGAGGCCCGGGGAGCTCGCAGGGTGCATGCGGCTCCCACCCCCGGCGGACATGCGCCATGGCCCTCTCATCCCACGGGCCCTTGTGACAGACTGAGGAAGGGGGAGCGGGTCAGGTCTCCAGCCACCAGGAAAAACCATACTCCTCCGGTTCGTGACTGTACCAGTCGCCGGTGATGACCAGGTGCGGTTTGCTCTCCTCGGCCGCCTTCAGCATCTGCTGGGCGTCCTCGCTGAACGCCTCCCTCCACAGCCTGGGGAAGGAGCAAAAGGTTTATCAACTAAGCACCTACTGGGTGCCAGGTGCCGTGTCCACAGCATGGAATGGCCTCTCCTAAGGCCCGAGCTCCAAGCCCTCACCCCCCAGGCACCCCTGCCTCCCACTCACTTGGGCCCTGGATGCCAGGCTGCCTTGCCCCAGGTTTTTCCCAGGGGCTAGCTCCACCATGTAACTTGCTATGTGATCTTGGGGAAGCCCCTTCCTCAATCAGGGCCTCAGTCTCCTCCTCGGTAAGGCACGTGTGTGGTCCAGTTGACAGGACTCTGCCCCCTTGGGCACACGTCTCCCAGCCGGCCCAGGAGAGGCCGCAGGCACCAGACCTAGGCTCAGAGGCCGAGGCCAGATGGGAGCGACGTCTCTGGGTCAGCCCACAAGGACAGTTACATCATTCTTATTTCTGTGTTTTATCTGTGTGGGTAACTCCCTAACAGTGCCAATTAGAACCATTCATTTGCTTGGCATGGGGTCGTCCATAGAGCCCAGCCCCCAGGCTTCTCTTCACTGGCCCGATACCTTGAGTGTGCACCTTCATGGCTCTCCAAGGACGGATGGCAAGAGCCCCTCTCCTCACACAAGGCGCCTCCACAAGAGTGACCACACTCCGCCAAAGAGGAATGGTGGTGGGCGTAACTATGGCCCCCCTCCAAAGATGCAGGGGGACCTGATCGTCGGCAGGCTGACGGCCCCCCCGACTAAGCTGGGAGGTCCCCTCAGGATACAGGCTGCTGCCAGCCGGTCAGCTCTCCGTCTCTCTAGCTCACTGTGCCCTGCTGGGGTAGGCTCTCGGACCCCAGGGATTGAAGGGGGATGTCCCCAGGGAGCCCCACAGGAGGGGCACTTACGCCAGAATCTGCAGTCTGCATTCAGGCTGCTCCAAGGCCTCGCACAGCAGCCTCACGCCTTCATCCCACAAGGCATTCTGGGCCAGGTCAAGACTCTTCAGCCACGGATTGCAGAGGAGAACGGAGGAGAGATCCTGACAGCAAGCAGCATTCAGCTGGCATCTCTCCAGCCTACCAGAGGGAGACAAGCAGGGCAGCTGGAAATGAGCCGGCCCAGGAGGGGCGGGGCACTGGAACCCAGCGGCAGGGAGGCTAGTCCTCAGGCTGGAGGCCCCACTCACACACTCATCCCCTCCTCCACAAGCTGCCTGGTGTCGCTATTCATCTATTAAGACAGTCCATGTGCAGGGTCACATCCTCCCTGAGCAGCTCCCTCTCCTCTTTGGGGGCCTTCTCCACCCTCCTCCTTCCCCCTTGGCCCTTCCTCTTGGGAGGCTCATCCACTCCCAAGACTTCAGCTGTCCCCTCTACTCCCAAAAACAGATCTCGCCCCTCTGACCCATCTGTTGGCCTGCCTGCGGGACGGTGCCATCCAACTGTCTCCAAGGCACCCTGACGTCAACGTGGCTGACGCCGAACTCGTCGCCTTCCCCCCAAACCTGTGTGGGGCTCCCCATTGCTTCTCCAGTAATGAGGCTGCCCTCTTCCCAGTCTCCTGACCTTCCTCCCTTCCCTACCAGAGAGCCAAGGGGAGGCTCCATGGCTGGAGAACACCTGCATGTTCCTCCTGTCCCTTAAGGTCCCCCTCAGTTCTGGGATGCTGATTCTACCTCATCTGAATCTCCAGAAGAAAGGCGGGCATGCGGGTGCCCTACCCTCCAAGGGTTCACAGTCTTGGTGGCATCCCCCTCTGGTCAGACATAACCCCACGGGCGGCAGGCCCGGGTCCCACCAGGCTCCCCCGGCATACCCGAGCCTCTGGAGCTGGCAGCTGGGGTGTCTCAGGGCATCACACAGCAGCTTGACCCCCTCGTCTTTGAGGGCGTTGTACCCCAGGTTCAGGCTCCGCAGGCTCTGGTTGAGGATGAGCATGTCCGAGAGGTCCTGACAGCAGGCCTCGGTGAGGAAGCAGACCAGGACGCTGCGGAAGAGGCCCGGTCAGGTCCCTTTACCTCTGCCTGCCTCGGTTTCCTCAGCTCTAAAATCCACTCCTCCCTCCCAGGATTGTGCTGACAGTCACTGTTCCGGTTACCCGCCACCCGGCCGTACACACATCCTTTCTCCCCGCGAGAGGGCAGTGCCCACGGCCTCCACACACACAAGGAGCTGAATGACTACCGAGGAGAACGGGCACTTACTCCAAGGCCTGAAGGCAACACTGCGGCTGCCCCAAGGCCGCACACAGCAGCTTCATGCCTTCATCTCCCACTTCATTCTCCCCCAGGTCCAGATGGGTCAGGTTCTTGTTGCTGAGGAGCGCAGCGGAGAGATCACGGCAGCCTGCAGCCGTGAGGCCGCAGCTCCACAGCCTGTGGGACACGGATGGACACGGGCTTGGACACAGGCAGACACCCACAAATCGGCATGGACACACGTGGACACACCACACACATCCATATATGGCCACACGTAGACAGACACCACACATGTGCATGCACAGAGACATGCACACAGACACACATGTGCACACACATACACAGGCACACACATGCATGCTCACAGAGACACACGTACACCCAGTGCACATGCAGAGACACACACAGCCACACGTGCGCGCGCACACACACACACACACATGCACTTCCTGAGTCCGCCATCCTCCCAGGACCCCTCTAGCTCAGGACTGCAGCACCTGCCTCTGAATCCCCAGCACCCCTGGCGTGTTTGGGGAGGCTGGCCAGCCCTAACTGCTAGCGAGTTTCCAAGCCCAAGGCTCTGCAGCTCCCCCCTTCGCTCAGCCTTGGTCCGGGCACCCGAGGCCTGTCCCTCTTCCTTCCACCCGGGTGTCACTGGAGGGCCGGACTTCCAGGTTTCAGGAAGGGAAAGGTGAGGCAGGCAGACTTAACAGAGGCAGTGAAGAAAGGCTCCCCGGGTACCGCGGCCCACCGGCCCACCCCCGCCCCTTTGAAGCCAAAGATGGCCCACCTGCCCTGGGTTTCACTATAAAGACGTGTCCACACAGGCCCCAGCCATTACACACCACTCACAACGTGGCAGCAGGCCTCCCCAAGCCAACAGAGGGACATGCCTGCTCCAGGCAACCAGATAGCCCCTTACCAGAATGACCTGCCAAGCCAAGAGTGGGACTACATGCCTGAGGGAGGGCAGTCTGTGCCCGACCGCACAACATGAACAGTCCTCCAGCCTGCAGAGCCCACGAGAACACGGCACCCTGTGGATCCCTGCGGCCTCCCCGGAGGCCCCCGTGGCTGGTGTGCCCTCCAGGAGACATCCCAAGGACCACCAGGCCAAACAGCCCCCAGTTACCACAGGCCGCCTCCCAGCTCTGCCCCGTCCTGAGGATGCTTCACTCCCTGGCCCCTGGGGCCTGCCCTTGCAGAGGGGCCCAGGCCAAGCTGCCTTCATTCCCCTCTGGCCGGGTTCCTTCCCTCCCTTCTCTGAAGCCACAGCCTCCTGCTGGGCCCCGTCACCCTCCTCCCTCCACCTCGACTGACACTTTTTGTCTCCCTCTGGAGTGAGGCTCCCCAAACTAGAAAACCAGCTCTTTGAGGCACATTTTCAGCTGCCTCTCCAGAGCTTAGAACAGCACCTAGAATGAGGCACAGGCTAAAAAGTCCTCCCTCCCTGCCTGCCTTTTTCTCCCTCTCTCTCCCGCCTGTCCTTCCTCCCTCTCTCCCTTCCTCCTTCCCTCCCTCCCGTCCTTCCTCCCTCCCTCCTGTCCTCCCTCCCTTTCTTCCTCCTTCCCTCCCCCTCCTGTCCTTCCTCCCTCCCTCCTATCCTCCCTCCTTTCCCTCCTGTCCTTCCTCCCTCTCTCCTTTCCTCCCTCCCTCTCTCCTCTTTCCTTCCCTCCCTTCCCTCCCTCTCATCCTTCCTCCTGCTCTTCTTCTTTCCTTCCTCACTCTCTCCTCTTTCCCTCCCTCCTGTCCTTCCTCCCTCCCTCCCTCCTTTCCTCCCTCCCATCCTTCCTCCCTCCCTCCTTTCCTCCCTCCCATCCTTCCTCCCTCCCTGTTGTCCTTCCTCCCTCCCTTCCTCCTTCCCTCCCTCTCATCCTTCCTCCCTCTCTCCTTCTTTCCTTCCTCACTCCTCTTTCCCTCCCTCCTTCCCTCCCTCCTGTCCTTCCTTCCTCGGCGCGCTCCAGCTTGCCACAGTGTCTCTCCTTCACCTCCCAAACCATATCACACAACAGTGACGACCTAAGGCCAAGGACTGCACGGCAGCAGGGGGCGGGGGTTGAAGAGGTGAAGAGGGGCCCCCACAATTCGCACAGATGAGTACAAACACTTAAGAAAATGATGCCCTGCCCCTATTCCTGACAAGACCCTCAAGGCCCTTCTCCTCCATCCAGGAGACCACCGGGGCGGCTTACGTCAGTCTCTGGAGAGGACACTCAGGGAGTTTCAAAGCCGTGCTCAGGATCTTCACGCCATCATCGCGAAGGCTGTTGTGGGCCAGGCACAGACATGTCAGATTCCGGCTGGAGGTCAGAGCACCAGAGAGATCCTGGCAAGCACTGTCTGTCAAGCCGCACCCCGCCAACCTGCAAGAGACACAAACACAGAGGTGGGAAATGACCCTGGGCCTTCCACTGGGGGAAGCGGGCCATGAGAAAATCAGGCAAGGTTCCAGGAGGAGGGAAGCCTGAGTAGGCACACACGAAGGTGAAGGTGAAGGCGAGGAGGAGGGGAGGAGGGGAAGGGGAGGCAGTGCCTACGGGGGGGGGGGGACAGACCACCCAACAAGTGGTTGTCCAGCCTCTGGTTCCCCAAAGAGGGAGGCCCGGCCCCCTGCTAAGGAAGATGTGCCCAACGTCAAACCTCCCTCTCGGCAGCTTCCCCCCATCGCTCCTGATTCTGTCCTCTACAGTCAGACAAAACCAGCACGACCCCTTCTCCACACGGGTCCTTCAGATGCTAACGTCAGCCTTTTTGTCCCACTCCTGTGACCGCCCCCCATCGCCACCCTAGCTGTCCTTCTCTGGACTTACTTCAGCTGGGGTCCGAGAAGGGCCATCCCTTCCCTGTTCCCAGGAGAGGAGCCCCTCTTAATGCAGCCCAAGATCTCAACAGTCAGGAAGACCCGAGTTGAAATCCTGGCTCTGCGACCCCAGACAACACTTCTCTGGACCTCAGTTTCCCTATCTGTAAAATTAGAGGGTCAGATTCAGCCGTGAGGGTCAACGATGTTATGAGTCTGTCCAACAAGCCAGCGATGGGCTGTGTCATCACCTAGTGCACATTTCCTCTACAAGAAGAGCAGGAAGTAGCTTATCTGAAGCTCGGCCACCATCCAGGGAAAGGCAGCTGAAGGGAGTCTGTGGAGCCTGCTCTTGGTGCCGCCAGGCCGGTTCCTTGTCATCACTGCTCCTGGCTCTAGATTTTAGCCAGCCAGCCCTTCAGTGATTTCTTCTAGAATTTTTCCAGGAATCGAAGTCAAGTTCACTGGCTGTTAGTTTGCAGCCCTGTTCTCTTCCCGTTTTTCAGGACATCTGCTATTCTGAAACCCTGTGGTGTCTATCCTGGTTTCTTTCTTCATTTTTTTTTTTAATCAGCAAAAACCCACCTTTTCTCCCTCCCCTCCACTCCCCCCTTGAAAACAGTAAGAAAAACAAAACCTCTCATACAAACGTGTATTGTCAATGTCCACACTAGCCTCATCCAAGCACGCTTCATCGCCGGTCTTCTGGAGTCACGGCTGATTGCGATGCAGCTCAAAGCTCCTGGGAGTTGATTCTTTGTGGTACTGCTTTATTCCATCAACTGTTCTCCCAGTCCCGTTCATACACGTCTTCAAGGTTTCTCTGAAACCGTGCCCTCCACGATCTCTTACAGCACCGTGCCTTCCATCACGCCCAGGTGCTCTAGCTGGCTCAGCCACTGCCCAAGTGATGGGCAGCCTCCTTTTCCAGTTCTTTGACACCAAAAACAGAGCCGCTCTAAGTATTTTTGTACATCCTTAACAACTGTTTTGCCCAGGGCTGAGTCTAACCTCCACTCATTCCCCCTTCTCTCTTCCTCCTTTTCCTATTTCTCTTGTTGAGGGAACTGCATTGCCACACCCATGTGTGCATGTGCACTTCTCTCTCCTTTCACCAGTTCAGATGAAAGTGCAGCCACTCTCTGCACTGCTCCCTCCGTCTGGAGATACCACTTGCGCATCCTGACTATGTGAGACGACTTTCCCTTCCCTTCCCCTCCCTTCTCCTGTCCTGTGTTCCTCTTCCCCTCTTTCTATCCATATTTAATAACATCGAGACAGAACAAGCCTTGTCTAATCAAACTCCCCTCTGTGGCCTCTGATGATGACAGGGTTCTGAGGGGACACAGAAATTCTCTCTCCGTTACAGACTTCAGACAGCTTATCCTTGCTTAGTCCCTTATGACTGTTTGTTTATGTTTACCTTTTTATGTTTCTCTTGACTCCTGTGTTTGCAACTCAAAGTTTCTATTCAGTTCTGATCTTTTCAGCAGGAATACTCGGAAGTCCTCCATATCACCGAAGGTCCATTTGCTCCCCTGTAGCATTAGATTCAGTTCTGTCATGTAAGTTATTCTTGACTTGAAGCCCATATCTTTTGCTTTCTGGAATATCGTATTCCAAGCTCTCAGCTCCTAAAAAATGATGGCTGCTAAACTGTGTCGGTCTGTTTTCTTGGTCAGTTGTTTTTGTTATGACATAGCTCACATTTTTTCTATTTTTCTCAGTCTTTTTAGTTTGTTTTAATATTTCTTGTGGCCATATGGAGCCACTGGCCTCTATCTGGTCCATTCTAATTTTCAGGGAGTTTGTTTTTTGTGCAAGGTATTGTACCTCTTATACCCAGCTGTCAATCACCTAATTCTTTCTTCCATAGCTCTCAGTTCTTTTCTACTTTTTTCTGCCAGTGCTCTCATTTCATTTATAAAAAACATTTTCAACTCTTTAAAAAACAACAACAGCTCCCGCGCTTCATCTCTTCCAGGAATTCGAACTACATTTGTGCCCCGACTGTGCTGTTGCTATTGTTTCCTGAGGCTCTACTTGTAGATGTTTTGGGGTCCTTCTCTTCTTCTGGGTTTGTGTCTGGAGCGTCCCTCCCAACACAATGGCTTTTTCTAGTAGGATTCTTTTTTTTCCTTTTGGTTTATTCTTCCAGCCTAGATTTTGGACTTCATGCAAGGGCCAAGCTTTGCCACACTCCTACAGGGATGGTCTGCACTGATCCTGTGGCTGCTTTTTTCTGGAATCTCAGGGACAGGCCAGCTTCCAAGCCTCCCAAAGGTGTCTGATGCAGGGGAAAGTCTGACTGCTGCCCCCCGGTCTGAGCTCTGCAAGTTCCTCACCTGGGTTTTGGTCAAGCAAGAGTATGCAGATGCTGCTGGACTCCAATCTTGCCAGCAGCTGTCAGGCTCTGCTGGGTCAGAGCCACAGAGCCGTTGGCTTCCCTTTGGCCCGGGATTCCTGTCCTGGTTATTCCACTGCAGGCTCCAGACTGGGCTGGACCCTGGAGCAGTGACCCTGCTCTGCTCCTGGGCTTCTGAACTCGCTCCTCCATCAGTATGCAGCCTAGGGCCTGCAACTGTTCCTCACTCTGGAACATCACACCCAGGCACAGGTCTAGGAACTAGAAAAAATTTATAAACCAAAAACAATCTCCTATGAGTCTGAATTATTTTTGTGGGAATAAATTAACTGAAAACTACTCTTCAAGTATCTGGAAGATGAACTGGTACCACTTGCATTTGATGCTAAAATCTAGGACTCTGAGATCATAAAATATAAACCTGAAATACCTTGACTTAAATGAGAAACTAACAAATCCATGCATATTATTTATCTACTTCCCTTCCCTTCCTCACTTGGGCTGCCCTGGCTCTGTGGCCTGGGGCTGGGGAGGAAGCAGTGCCTGTTCCTGAACCCCACATGATTAAGGCCCCTCTGTGTTGGATCTGAGAGTTCCTTGTGCTACGGTGTGCTGTGCTCCCAACAGGTCAGGCCAGGGTCATTTAGAAGACCTCACGTGACAGGAAGCTCATGACCTTACAGGGTGAACCATGCCACTATTCTCTGATTATCAAGAAGTTCTTTGGACCGACCCAAGCTGCCTCCCTAGTATTCTAGCCATTACTGCCCCCAGAGCTGCCCTGTGAGGCCAAGGAGAGCAAGGCCAGACCTCCCTCCACATACCAGCCCTGACCACAGCTCTCCCTCCCTCCTCCCACTGCAGCCTCATATCCTCAATGTTCTCACTGCATGACCCCAAGGCTCTTCAGCACCCCAGACCCTCTCCTCTGGACACACATCCACTTGTCAGTGTTCTTCCTCAAACATGGCACCCAGCCCCTCCCACAGGACCTCCAGGGGAGGCAGGGAGAGCCACCGTCACACCAAGGAGGAGTCTCAAACCCTGATATTGAGACTCCAAATCAAGCCCTCATCCCTGTTCCCACAGCCCTGGAGACAAGCCTGAGAGGCAGCAGCCCCCAGCCCCTCTCAAGCCTGGCTATCACACAAAGCCAGCCTACAAACTGATTTGTAAAATGGATGATGACATCACCAAGCAACCCTGACGAGACAGAAAGGGAAGGAGGGGCAACCACTTACACCAGTTTCTGAAGGTGACACTCAGGCTGGCTCAAGGCCTCACACAGTATGTGCACGCCACCGTCCAGGAGCTGATTGCCCCCCAGGTTGAGATGGGTCAGGCTCTGGTTACAAGTGAGGGCCCCGGCGAGGTCTGGACAGCAAGCCTCAGTGAGGGCACAGCTCTTCAACCTTGGTGGGGGAGGCAAGGCAGAGAGAGCGTCATGGAGGCCACCTCCCCTCTCCTCCTGCCCCCATAGGCCCCTGCTTCTCCCCATCCCTCTCTCATCTCTCCTTCCCTCTTTCCCATTCCTCCCGTCTCTCTTCCCATCCCCCTCATTCCATCCCTCCCTCTCCCTCTTATTTTTTTTCCTTTCCTCCCTCCCTTCCTCCTTCCCTTTTCCTCCTTTCCATTTCCATTCCGTCTCTCTCCTGTCTCACTCCTCTATGTCCCTCTCCTCTGCCTGTCCCATCTCTCTCCTCTGCGTCCTTTCTCTGTGTCTCTCCTCTGTCTGTACTCATCTCCCTCCTACCCTCCAGCTCTCTCCTCGTCCCTTCCCCCCATGTTTCTATTTCTCCCCTAAAAAGAGACGACTGTCCTGTGCACAGAAGGAGCAGGAAAGGGAGAAGGAGTGGGCAGCAGAGCCCAGATGACTGGGAGGCAGCAGGTGAATAACAGGGAAGGAGACACTGGAGAGCACTGGAGAAAGGGAAGGAGAGAGCTGAGAGAGGAAAGAAGATGCCTCGGCCTGAGGAGGAAGGAGAGAAGCGGAAAGCACCAGTATGACAAGAGGACCAGAGCCGGGGAGGCGCCCCGGGGCTGGGCAGAGCAGGACGCCATCCCCCTACGACCAGCTTCAGCTCCGTCCACGCGAGAGGCAACAAACCGTCACTGTCACTGAGTCACTATCAAAGCTGGACTCTGAACCCAGACCTCAGCCCCCAGCTCCCTGCCCACCTGATGCTTCCTGCTGCCCCCGCGTGGCCAGCCTCCGAAGGGAGACGACCTCAGACCGAGGGTGCCCTGAGCCTTGCATCTTCCCAGTCTCCCCACAGGGCACAGCAGAGCGGCACTCCCCCTGACTGCAGGTTTCCTACCTCCTGCTGTGCCTGTCCTCCGAGGGCAGAGGGGTGCCCTCCATTCCCACACCTGGTCATACCCTTCACATCCCAGTGACTCAGCTCCTGTAGGTTATGACCCAAACTTACTCCCTCCCACCTGATTCCCCATCCCAGCGACCTCCCACCCCGAAGTTTCAACCTAACTCCAGCCAGCCCTTCCACTGTGCCCTCTGGCATGCTTGTTCCTTCGCTTCATCTTCAGTCTTTTCCTCTCCCACTCCATCTATCCACTCGTACTGAAACCTGGCTTCTCCCTGAAGACACAGCCTCCCTGGCTGCCCTCTCCAGAACTGGCCGCACCTTCATTCATTCTCCGCGGCTCACTGGTCAAGGTTCCCCTGAGCTGCTTCCAGGTTCTCCCCCTTCCTCCATCCCTCAGTAGCCTCTCCTACTTTGCGGTTCATGCCAGTCATATGTCCCACCCAGTCAAAATCCTGAGAGCTGTTGTGTCCCCTTCCTTCCTCGATGAGTTTGGTCCCTGGCTCACAATATTGCTCTTCTCCCCAACTCCTGCCTTCACCCTAGAGGACTTTAACATACATAGGGACTCTCCCTCAAACACCCTCACTGATCAGATACAGGAGCAAGAGAGCGAGAGCGAGGGGGGGGAGGGGAGGGGAGGAGAGGGGCAGCATCTGCGGAATGGAGAAGAGGGAGCAGCGGCCCGAGGGGGAAGGTGCCAAGGACCTCATGGAAGGCTGACCTCAGATACTGGAAGTTACAATTTGGGTGTCTCAAGGCCTCACACAGCAGCTTCATCCCATCATCCCCCAGCAGAAGGTCCAGATCAAGGCCCACCAGATGCCGGTGTCCGATGAGAGCAAGCAGGAAATCCCCACAGGCAAAGGAGACGAAGGCAGTCTGCCTGACCCTGCAGCAGAGGAAGGCCAGAAATGGGCACAGTCGTTCCTTCTGGCCTCCACCAAGGCCCTACCTAGAGTGGCCCAGTTCTTCTCCCACTGATCCCACAATGCTGCCCACCCCAGTTCCAAGGTGAGTTCCACTCATCTCTTTTGGGGATCTTTCAAAAGCTGTAGGTAGACCAGGCAACAACTAGAAGAAGGAAAAGGAGGAAGGAAGGAAGGAAGGAAGGAAGGAAGGAAGGAAGGAAGGAAGGAAGGAAGGAAGGAAGGAAGGAAGGAAGGAAGGAAGGAAGGAAGGAAGGAAGGAAGGGAGGAAGGAAGGAAGGAAGGAAGGAAGGAAGGAAAGAAGGGAGGAAGGAAGGAAGGGTGGAAGGAAGGAAGGAAGGAAGGAAGGAAGGAAGGAAGGAAGGAAGGAAGGAAGGAAGGGTGGAAGGAAAGAAAGAAGAGTGGAAGGAAGGAAGGAAGGACAGACGGACCAGAATATAGAGCAGTTTAAGGTTTGCAAAGCGCTTTACAAATATTACTTCATTTTATCCTCACGACCATGCTGAGAGGTAAGTACTACTACAATCCTTATTTTACAGATGAGGAATTCAGGCAGACAGGTATTCAATTTGGATATTTCCAACAGGAACCCATAGATGAAAATTCTGTAGAAGTCACCCCAGGAAGAATGGGAAACTGAAGATTCAGAGGGTAGTGATTCCAGTGAAGAGGAAAAACAAGGGATTCCGAACAAGGGTGGTGTGAATACCCAGCAAATTCACCAAGCAATCTTTAAAAACGTCCCCAGATTCTGTCACTCTCTGCCCACCCCTCACCCAATCCCTCCCCTTGTCCAGCCAAATGCCTAGAAAAGCTGTCTGCAATGGCTGGCTTCATCCTCACCTCCCGCTCACAGAGCCTGCTCTCCCTGAGGGTCCCAGAGGTTTCCTGACTGCTAAATGGGATGGCCCTTCCCCATCCTCCTCCTCCTGCCTGCTCAACGGCTGCACTCCCGTTGACCAGCCCCAGCGGCTGCTTTCTCCTGGTTCTCCCCCTCCCCCGCAGCCGTGACCAATGCTCATTCTCTGCCTGGCTGCTCACCAGCCGAGTCTCCCCCCCAAACAGCGTGAGGCTCTGCCCCAGGCCCCTCCTCTTCTCCCTCCATACTCTCCTCTCTCATTGAGTCATCTTGGCATTCCGCAGGTTCCAGGATCATTGATAAGCACATCCAGCCCTAACCTTTCTCCTAATTCTGGTCCTGCATGGTCACCCACCTTTGGCCACGTCTACAGCCCGCCCTGTCCCCGTCCTTCGCCCCCACTACGCCCCGTTACGCCCTCAGGGGCTCACCGCAGATTCTGTAGGTGACAGTCTGGGTGCGCCAGCTGTTCGCTCAGGCCCTTCATGCATGGCTCATTCATGGAGGAGAAGCTCAGCTCCATCTCCCGCAGGGTGGCATTGAGGCTCAGCACCGAGTACAGGGCCTTCCACCGAGAGGCAGTGAGGTCCGAAGCCTGGGGCCTGGATGAGAGAAGAATGGACAGCTGGACGACTAGCCCAAGGGAAGCACCAGCTTCACCATGTGGGAGGCCCGAGTCCAGGGCCCGCCTCAAGCCAGAATGAGAATGACCGGCACTGACCCAGCACACACATCAGCTCACTCGGTCCCTGTGCGTGATCCCCATCTTACAGGGAAGGAAATGGAGGCAGGAGAGGATGAGAGAGACAGCACAGGCTCTGAGCCCTGAGCCACCTACCACAGCCCGGGGGCCCGGGAGAAGGCCCAGGTGCAGGCTGGGCAGGGGCTAGCACTCACCCTGGCTCGACCGGGGAGCCGGCCTGCAGCTCCTCGTCTGGATCTTCAGGGAAGACCTCCCTCTGGACATGGAGCACCAGCTTCTCCAGCCGGCGGCAGTGGTGCAGGCAATAGGAGGACACCAGCAGGTCCACTTTGCTCCAGAGCACAAGGTGCAGGTCCTGGAAGTGGTCCATGGCCTCCGTCACGAAGGCACTGTCCTGCGTCTCATACAGGCTGAAGAAGAAGTGGTGCAGGGAGAGGGCGCGCAGTGAAGGCGTGGTGGAACCGCTAAACACTGCTGCGCACAGCAGCAGGTCCCGCCGCAGCCGTGGGGACAGGCGGCAGCCCAGTTCCGCCTCCAGGAGCTTCACACACTCAGGGTTTAAGAGGCCGAAGAGGAAGTGCACAGCCAGGCTCAGAAAGCTGGTGTCCACCCCTGAGTACTTCTCCAGCTCCATGGTGAGATCGTGGATGGTGTGTGCCACTGATGGGCTCTGCGTCACCTCCATCCCGCTATACAGGGCGGCAAAAAACTCCTGCAGAGTCAGGTGGAGGAAGGAGTAGCCACGCCCCCGCCGAAGGAGGATGTGTGTGGCAAGGAAGGGCTCAAGGTCGGCTGCGGCCAGCCTGTGCCTCTCCAGGTCGCTGCCGTCAAAGCTCGTGGCGTGCACCAGCACCCTGTCGGCAGCCAGGCGACACAGAGCCTGCAGCTGGGCCTCGTGGGGTGGGGCGTGGCCTCGGAACAGGCTGGTCACGTAGGACACATAGAGATGTGTCACCGTGAGGGGGCCCTGGCGCAGGTCCTCTCCATCCTCCAGCCTCTGCTTGAGGCCCGTACAGATCAGCCAGCAGACCAGTGGGGCCCGGCACAGGGTGGCCAGCGTCTCATTGTCCTGCGTGGCGGCCAGGGCAGCCCGCGCGCTCGCCCTGTCCCCAAAGAACCTGTGGAAGTAGCCCTCGCGGTCGGCCTTGGACAGCCCCAGGACCTCGACAAGTTGAGGGCAGCCCAGCCAGCGTGCCAGGCAGGCCCAGCCCGAAGGCCGCACAACCAGCAGCAGGCAGGCTTCGGGCAGCAGGCTTCTCCGGAGCAGGCCCTGGAGGAGGCCGGCCAGCGGCCGCGGCTCGGCCCCATCCCGACACAGCTCGGCTTCTGGCTCGTCCAGGAAGGGCCTCAGCTCCTCCAGCCCGTCTATGATGAACAGGAGACTCTGGGGCTGTGACAGGATCTCGGGGACGGGCACTGGCGGGCCAGGCCACTGGCTGACGATTAGCTCAGCCATGCTCTTCTCGGCCGTCCCATCCATTTCTCCGAGGCTGAAGTAGAAGACATACCGAAACATGTCCCGGCAGAGGCGCCCACGGGCCCAGTCCAGCATCAGCTTCCTGGCCAGCACAGTCTTGCCGATGCCCATGGGCCCCTGCAGGACCACGGTGTTGGGCCGCTGCTCGGTCTTATCGTCCAGCTGGAACATCGCCCCCAGCTGCCCAGCCTGGCCAGGGATCTCACTGAAGGGCAGCCCTTCGCCGGGCGGGAGCTCTGAGCCCTCCCCTCCGACGACCACCCTGACCTTGGCACAGGTGCGGGAGAGGAGCAGAGTCACGGGTCCGTACAGAAAGTTCTCCTGCTCTGCAGGCCACGAGTCTTCGGCCCTCGAGGAGCTGAACTTCTCCGCCACCCAGGCTCGGTATCGCCGCCTGTCATCTGCATCGAGGAGAGAGCAAGAGAGACACAGGTTATGGCGGGTACGCGGGAAGGGTCTCCCCTGAAGTGCCCCAGCCCAGCCAAGGCCCTGACCCACGGAGAAGACAAGCGTCTTGTCCCAGACAAAACAGCCAGCAAGGGCCGAGACCACAGAGCTAAGATCTCGGGGCCCCAGAGACCGGGGCTCTTAGCTGGGGTCCACGGACCCCTCCCATATCCCCAGGAATCTGTGCACAGAGGTCACAGGGGCTCACGGACAGAGCTGTGTGATTGTGGGCGATCATGTGAGCTGAGCCTCAGCTTTTTCAGGCATCGCACGAAGGCTGTGACGCCCACCCGAGCCCCTACGCTCACGGGGCTGGCTTAAGCAAAGGGATTTTAAAGCCTCAAGTGTGGCCACCATCCACTCGGGCAGGAGGGGGCTGAGGACCCCAAGCTGTGAGGCTGAGGGGGGTGACCATCACAGCAGCCAGCGACGGTTCCCAAAATGCCTCAGTGCTATTCTCATGCCCGTTACAGGTGGTGAAACTGAGGCAGGCAAGGGCTAGTCAATGACCATCTGAAGCTGGATTTGAATTCAGGTCTTCCTGACCCCAAGGCCTATGCTCTATGCTCTGTGGCGCCCTTTTGCTGCCTCCAGGCCAAAGATCTGGGTTCAAATTCCATCACTACCATTTTACTCCCTTGGATATGGGAGCACTTGGTACTTACTGCCTGTAACTTAGAGCAAGTCCCTTCCCCACTCTGGGCCTCAGTTTCCTCATCTGTAATGTGCCGGATGAAACGATGCCCAGCATCCCAACCACATCTCCGTCCTACGGTCCTAAGCAGTAAAGGGTCTACACCTGAGACTAAGACTTGTGAGTCCACGCGCTGGGTCCTGCCCACCGTGGGCCCCTGCTCGAGGGACACTGGGGAAAAGGCTCGGCCCTCCCCTGGTGAGGGGCCTGGCCAGAGATGACAGCAGGCACAGTTACAGGCTGGCAGCAGCTGGCAGGTATAGGGAACAGCAGTCAGCAGGGGCAGCGCTATGACCAGTGACAGCAGTCGGTGGTGGTGCCAGGTAACCGTGACAGTGGCTACAGCGGCTGTGCTAGGTGACAGTAAGAATGGCAGTCAGGAGTGGGTAGCAGGGGCGCTACTAGTGATAGGTGGGAGAAGCGGCCAGCAATAGAAGTCATAGTAATGGCCGTCAGTTCTGACGAGGAGGGAATCACGGCACTTTGTAGCAGGTAACAGTGGCAGTGATGCACAGTTAACAGTAGTAACAGCAGTCTGTCGTGGGTCTAAGCAACAGCAGCGGTTGTTGCTGTATTGAGTAGCCCTGGTGCTAGGCAGCTGTGGTGGTGGCAGTGGTGTTCCTAGTGATGCCAGGCAGGTGTGGCAGTTACGAGAGTCAGTCGTAGTAGTCAGCACGGTACTAGGTGCAGTAATGGCAGTGACAGTAGTCAGCAGTGATGGTCCTAGGTGGCGGTAGGAGTAATGGAAGGTACTAGCGGGCAGCAGGAGTAGGAGCGTTACTGGAGGCAGCAGACAGGAGTGGGGGTTAAGAGCAGCCAGCAGCAGTAGGGCAGTGGTCACTAGTGGTAGGAGGTGGCAGTGGCGGTGGCAGTTGGCAGTAGGTAGCCGTGGGGGTAGTTAAGAGCACGAAGTTCATTCACACTGGGCAGGCATAGGTCGGCAGTGGTTGTTAATGGGGGTGAGGGCAGCCATCCACAGCCGACTGTGGCAGTAAAACACCGGCCCACATGTCACCTGCCTGGCCATGCTCCCTGCCCAGCTGATGAGGGGCCTCCCTCACTCTACAGCAGCTGGTGCCTGGACCCCGACACCCAAAGCAACAGAGAAGAAGCGTCTGAGGAAGGTGACGTTGTGGCCCGAGGCCAAAGCCAGGCCAGAAGTCCCTTGGCTCCATCAGAGAGGGGGCGGCCTCGGAGCTGGGCCAGCGGCCTTTCCCCAGCGGTGGACGTTCCTAAGCACACCTACGACCAGTCCTGCCCCACTGAGGCCCCAAAGACCCCAGCAGCCACCAAGGTCAGTTTGAGCCCAGCCCGTCTGGGGAGAATGGTGACTAGGCTGGGGAGGGGAGGGTCCCGGGTGCAGCAGCAGCGTGGAGAGGGGAGCAAGGCAGCCAGAAGTCCGAAGGCCCGAGCCCCCCATCCTGACGAGCGTCCCCACTCACCTGAGTCTTCGTCTGGCTCGCTGTCCTTCTCTCTCGAGCTGGCTCCAAACCGTCCCTGCATCTCAGCGGTCTCTGTGAACCAAAGAAAGGTCATCGACAGCCATGAATCTTGCTACATCTTCCCCATCCTGGGCTCCCAAGATGGATTTTTTGAACCCCATGAAGTCCTTTCCATTCACCCCATCACACATGAGCTCATTTGACGGGGCCCATCATGAGTAGTGAGGCAGGATGAGGTACAACGTCGATAGAGCATCCAGACCCAAAGCCCGGAGAGGCCAGGGTTCAAAGCCCACAAACATCGAGGGGGCAGGACCACGTGAAAACAAGCTCTGAATCAACCAGAGTAAGGTGCAAAATGGCAGAGATGAAAAACAATGGGAATGGCCCACACCGGAGGGACCGCAGGAGGACAGGCATGCTGATACATTGTTGGTGCAGCTGCGCGGGGGCCAACCGCTCTGGAGTCCCATGTGGAATTACGGAAAGAAAATCACTCAAGTGTCCGTGCCCAGCAACCCAGCCCATGGAGTCAAGAGGGAGCAGGGTTCCCCGTGGACCAACAGGCTACGGCAGCATTCTTTGTGATCTGGACACAAGGGGCGCCCCGGGGAGGTGGCCGCCTGCGCCAAACAGAAGACATGACAGAGCCGAGGAGCCGAGTAATGGAGAAACAAGAGCAGGTTTGTATCCCCCCGGGTGGAGCGAACCAGGCAGACAGGAGTAACAAATACTCCACACAGCCGGTGCCGACCGGCCTCAGGAGGCAAAGAGGAGGGGGCCCATCCAGGCACAGGATCCCTTCACAGATGGGGAAACTGAGGCCCGGGGAGCCAAGTCCCGCAGGGAGCCGTGGGTCAGGTGGACAGCCCAGGCAAGGCCGCGAAGGGAAGGCTAAGGAGAGGGGGGCACAGGGCAGAGCAGGCCCCCCCCAAGATGAGAGGAAGGCAGTGACTGAGGGGAGAAGGGACGGAGGGGAAGGGATTGCCCCCGACCTCAGCAGGGAAGGTGTGCTGAACCTGGGGTGGCCTCCAGCCTGGCCCGGACATCCCACTCACCCAGCCAGGCCGGCCCCTGGGGGGCCACTCACCTCTCTCCGGCAGCTGCTCCATCTCTCAGACTCTGAGGGGCCCGTCCCAGCTGGGTGGTGGCCAGGGGACACGGGGGCCTTCGTCACTGCAGCCAAGGTGTCACCTGACTCACAGAAGGCCAACCTGAGAGGAGGAGGGAGAGTCAGCCGCCTGGCCCGGGGCCAGGGGGCTCCAGGGCCTGCTGAGGCCGACTGGAGACCCTGAAAGCAAAGCGAAAAGGCCAGGCCCAGGCTCAGGCGCATCCCCTGGACTCCCTGGGCCTGCTTCCTCTCTGTAGAATGAAGGAGGGAGAGAGGGAGAAAATGAGAGGAGAGAGAGAGAGAGAGAGAGAGGGGGGGGGAGGGGGAGAGGGATGGAGAGAAAGGGGAGGGGGAAAGGAAGGGGGAGGGAGGGAGAAAGAAAAGGAGGGGAAGAGGGGGAGGGGAGGGAGGGAGAGAAAGGGGGAGGGGAAAGGGAGGGGAGAAGGAAGGAGTGAGAAAGAAAAGGAGGGAGGGAGGGGGAGAGGGAAGGGGAGGGAGAAAGAAAAGGAGGGGGAAGGGAGGAAGGGGGAGAGGGGGAGGGAGGGAGAGAGAGAGGGAGAGGGAGGGGGAGGGAGAAAGAAAAGGAGGGGAAAGAGGGGGAAGAGAGGGGGGAGAGAGAGGAGGGAGGGAGGGGAAGAGAGAGGAAGAGGGAGGGGGAGAGGGATGGAGAGAAAGGGGGAGGGGGAAAGGGAGGGGGAGAAGGAAGGAGGGAGAAAGAAAAGGAGGGAGGGAGGGGGAGAGGGATGGAGAGAAAGAGGGAGAGGGAGAGGAAGGGGGAGGGAGAAAGAAAAGGAGGGGGAAGAGGGGGAGGGAGGGGGGAGGGAGGGAGAGAGAGGGAGAGGGATGGAGAGAAAGGGGGAGGGGAAAGGGAGGGGGAGAAGGAAGGAGGGAGAAAGAAAAGGAGGGGGAAAGGGAGGAAGAGGGGGAGGGAGAGAGAGGAGGGAGGGGGAGAAGGGGGGAGGAGAAAGAAAAGGAGGGAGGGAGGAGAGCGGGGCAGACGCACAGACAAGGGATGATAGACTGCTGAACACAGGAGAGGCCTGCTTAAGCACTTGCTGTATACACTGAGGCCTCTGACCCGAAGGTCCGTCTCCACGGGCCTGAGGACTAAGTAGCCGGGGGTGTAAACTGAGGCTCGAGGCCAGGCCCTTCGAGGGGCGTCTTACTTTACAGAGGGGTGTGGGAGGAGTCTCCCAAAGGGTCGGAGGAAAACCTGGGGCTGAAGGGAGGGGCGACTGTGTGGGAAACTGAGGCAGGGGCTGGCTCACCCGAGGCCGGAAGCACACGAGCCCAGAGCTCGACGCCCTTCTTCTCACCACTTAGGAGGGAAAATCTTTGATCACGACTCCGCCCCCTCGCGCCCGGAGTGCTACTCCATTGGCTCTCACGCCCGCTCGTCTCCTCAGCCCTTCCCCCTGCGCGCTAGGAGGTCTGTGGGCCAAGTCTTGGGGGCCTGGCCTTGGGGGGGGGCAGAACGCCTCCAGAAGGCAGAACGCATGCGCCTGGCGCCTCCAGGCCTACACTGGAAAACTATGCTTCCCAAAGGGCCCTGCGCAGCACCGGCTTCGTCCACCAGGGCGCAAAAGGAGGACGCCGGGGAGGGAGGCCGGCCCTGAGAAGACCACGGATTTTATTCGGTCATTTACTAGTAAATTACTCACTAATGTTTAGCGATCATAATAAAAAAAATTAGTGGTAACTTTGTCATTAGTCATTTCATGGGTTGGCATGATTTCGGTAGCGCCCCCTCCAAGATATTTCCCCTACTCCCACTGGTCTTAGGTCGCCCTCCCCACCACCCCAGGGAAGCAGCCAATCACAATAAGGTCCCTCTGTGACGTCACAGCTTTCATCCAATAGTCAAAGCACTTTTTTCCCGCATTAATTAAGGCCCGTCAAGAGTTCAAATACAGTTATGCCTGCCACATGTGTAACTCTGGGCTGTCATTTCGTTTCTGTTTGCGTCAGTTTCCTCATCTGTAAAATGGGGATGATAACAGCACCCACCTCCTGGGTTCTTCTGAGGCTCACATGAGATCATGCCTGTAAAGCCCTTGGCACAGGGCCTGATAACGTGGTAGGTACCGTATACCTGTTACCTATTATTAGTTATTAAGACAAAAAAGAGAGGGGCAGCTAGGTGGTGCATATACCTGTTAAAAGTCATGGGGGCAGCTAGAGGTGCAGTGGATAGAGCACCCGCCCTGGAGTCAGGAACCGGACTCAGACACATAATACTTCCTAGCTGTGTGACCCTGGGCAAGTCACTTAACCCCATTGCCTAGACAAAAAAAAAAAAACAAAAAATGAAACAAAAACAAAAAACAAACATAAAAATGCTTGGTTATCGCAGAATAATTCCTCCCTCGTGTAGCCAGCCCAACTAAAATACACGCTTCCTTCCCCATGCTGTTTGCAGGTGCTCCCTGCGCTGGTCCCTTGACAGTAGTAGAAGGCTTTTGACTTCAGCAGCTTTCTAGAAGACTGATTTCTGCTGCCCACAACAGTGGGCTCTGAATTCAAACAAGATTCAAAATTCTGTGCTCTGTTTTACCCATAAGCCTGCCAGGAAAAAAAATGTTTAATTCACTTTTTTATTATTCTAAATCTAAGCATAGATTTTGTGTTTAGAAAGAGGAAAAAGTTAAAACTCGGAAAAAGGTGAATTTTTAAAGTTTATTAAAAAGGTCAACATAGCAATATGTTAACAGGCTGATCAGTTGAGATCAGCAAGAGTTTCAAGATGGAGCCAGTTTTTATTGATAACTTTCATAATGAGATAAAGACATTTCAAGACAGGTCCAGGTCAGCAAAAGGGGACTGGTCATTGCATCTCAGTTCCTCCCCAATTTCCTAGTTGCAGACTGGGTGACACCTTCCCCCACACTGATTGACAAACAGGTCTGGGAACAATATGTCACTGAGCCAGCATAACTTTCTTTCCTTCTCTCTTTCTTCTTTTCTTTTCTGAGGCAATAGAGTTAAGCAACTTGTCCAGAGTCACACAGCTAGTAAGTGTCTGAGGCCAGATTTGAACTCAGGTCCTCCTGACTCCAGGGTTCTATCCACTGTGCCACCTGGCTGCCCCCGTAACTTTTAACAGGTATATGAAGCCTCCCTACAGGATTTCATATAAACTATGACTGAGAGACTTTTCTGAGATTCATCCTATGATTCTTCCACTGGAAACAATGAAGATTTCAAGAGATAAAGGCAGCAGCTAGGATTGATACAGAGAAAACAAGTCAGAAGTTTAACGTCTCTGTCTACTAAATATTAGAATTTCCCCTAACTGGGGGCTCTGAGCTACGTAGAATTATAGTAATTTTTTTTTTCTTAGATGCATACTTTTTGATAAATTCAACCTGGATTAGGTTTTTTCCTGCCCTTACACTAAAGCCAAGACCTAGGCATCCAGGGTGGTCTAGTAAGAGGGGAAGGGTATGTAAATGCTCCCCACCACCAATGTTTTCTCTTCATGGTGCCTGGCACGTAGTAAGCACTGACTCGTCAGCCAGAGGACAGAATTAATAAACAACTAAATGAAGACTAATTAGAAAAAGACCATCATCAGACCAAAAGCAATTCTTCCTAATCCATTGAGATCTGGGACTGATTGTGAAAAAAACAGGTACTGGGCAGCAGAAATGACTGCAGCCCTGACAACAGTGATTTTATGCAGGAGTTTAACCAATGCAAATCACTTACCCTACTGTTGTCAAGGAGGGCAGAAGGACCGAGAAAACCCTTGCATTATTCACCCAGCTAGGAGAGATGCCACTGACTCGGAGCTGAGATCTACTGGTGAAATCTTCCAAGGGGGGTGATTGGGCAATGTACAGTAGGCTCATCAAGCAGAAAAGCAAACTTGGCAAGAGACCCGGCCAAGAGGCTCCCACTGTGGCTTTTTGAGGGCCTGGGACAGAGAGCAAGGTGGCTGGTAGTGAGCAATGCAGAAATAGAAGAACAGATAAAAGTGTCAATGAAACTGTTTCTGAGTGACAGGAGAGCAGAGGAAGCTCAGAGGGGCCAGGAAAGCAGGGCAGTTTGGGCGCTGGTCCGGGCCAAGTTGCGGAGAGGCCCGGCAAGGATTGGAGCCCTTCCCACGGAGTGGACACATGCTGCGTCCTCTTCTGATGCGATCAGAGGCTCCCCAGGACGAGGGTGGCGGCTGGATCAGGACTGCCGCCTGAACTCTCAGAGGAGAGAAGGTCTCTGTGGAGCCGGCCTCTCGGACAAGACCATCCATGCCAGGGCTCTCTCTGTCTTGGACTTCCAGCTAAGGGGAGGGGACTCCCCTCCCTCCCTTGCCCCTGTTATTGACATCTGCTTTGCTGTCTGGTGGCAAGCCTGCCCTAGACTCAGAAACCCTTGTCTGTTTTGCAGCTCTCCCAGAGTGCAGGGTACCAGGGACAGTCAGCCTCTTTCAGCAGTGGTGGCCGGTGCACCTCTAGAGGTGGACGGTGAGCGCTGGCTGCTTCGCTCACTCCTTGCAGCCCCACTGGGGTGCTCATTATCCAATTATTTTTGACACAGGCTTCCCAGTTCCTACCATGGAGGGGAACACAGGGCCCACTACAGGAACCACTGGTTGCACACGAGGCCAGAGCCCACATCTCTCCAGAAGAGGTTTAAGCACATGCCGAGCTACGTGGGAAATGTTGTAATCTCACCACTGCCACTGAGTGGAAAACACACTCTAAAATAAAGTCACAGAAGGTCATAGGCCCACATACAATCCTCATTTCTTATCTTCTTTGTGCATCAAAATATTTTTGTTTGTTATCTTCCTAATGAAATGATCATTAATATTTTTAAATGACATTCAACTAAGGAAAGGCATCCCAAGGGTATTTAAAAATAAAAATAGAAAGATAACAACAGAAGGAAAAAAATGGAACCCATCGGTAATGATTTTATTATAGCAGCCCATTTTCACCTGATCAAGGACAGCTGAGTTACCATCCTAAGATGCTGACATCACCTGGATGTGTGTTCAGAAGAGGTGGAGATGTCCCTGAAGGGATGGAGCATGCCCAGAGGAACTCTGTGCTGAGCCAACATCGGTGGGAGGGAAGTGGGGAAATGCTGACAGCAGCACTTTTCGTGGTAGCAAAGAACTGGAAACTGAGGTGGGTGGGGGTCCATGAATGTCATGAGTATGACAAAGAGGATGAACAGAGAGAAGCCTGCCAAAGTAAGCAGAGTCAAGAAAACAATACACAAAATGACCCAACAATGTAAACCTAAAAAAACAACCTTGCACACAAAGAGCGAACGTTGCAAAATTAGAGAGAATTACGCATGGCTCAAAAGAAGAGATAATAACAGCCAACACTTACGTAGGGCCTATACTGTGCGCCAGCACTGTGCTAAGCACTTTACCAATATTATCTCATTTGATCCTCACATCATCGCCGGGAGGTAAGTGCTGGTATTAGCCTCACTTTACGGGGCTTAAGTGACGTGCCCAGAAGTCACATGGCTAGTAAGCGTCTGAGGCCAGACTTGAATTCAGGTTTTGAATTCTGCCTCCAGATCCAGCTCTCTATACTCTGTGCCACCTAGCTGCCCCACATATGATATGAGAAAACATTTCCCCTTACTCCTTTGCAGAACTGGGGGGTCCATGGTTGTAGAACATTGAACACAAGATTAGATATTTTGATGTATGGATGGGTTTTGATGATTTTTCTCTTATTCCTCTTTTTAAAAAAAAATTTGTAAGGGATGGCTCTCTGGAAAGTTGAAAGAGGAGGACAAAAAGGAGGGCATTTAGATGATATGAAAATAAAAGATATCAATTAAATTATTATTTAATAAAGAAAAGACATTGAGGTCTTAATTTATTTGCAAAGTATTTAAAAGACAGAAAGATGCTAAATTCAGGAATAAGTCTTAGACCTCATCCACACCAGAAAAAAAAGCAACTGAGAGAACCCCAGCAGGATTAACAAATCTATCCACGTTCTCATTTGTACAGAATCTTTATGAAAACCATCCACAAGTCCACAGTGGGCAGCCTGGATGAAAGCTTTAGTAGTGAATGTTGCCCGTGGCCCAGAGGGGAGGGCATTTCCAGCAAAGGGTCCCAACTCAGGGCTCACATAGGCTGGGTTTATTCCTAGGGAAGCCTAGATCCAAAAAGAGGGAATTCAGGCTTTTTCTCACACCCTCTGGCTAATTATCCCCAGCTCCTGGAATGGGGGAAATTTCTTAAATGAAGCTTAGGTAAGACTTATGTCTAGGCACTCTTCTAAAGAAGATTAACAGGATCTCTACTAGAAAGGTACTCACTGTACCAAATAGTACATATCAGATATAGGACAGCTATTTATTTCCTTTGCCACAAAAGAAATAATTAAAATGCAGAGGACTCATAAGCTGCATTAACAAATGCATAAAATAAAATATATACCTTATCATGTCTATTATACCCCTCTAAGAGGTAGGAAAAACTCTCAGAAGACTTGTAAGAGTGATGGGCAGGCTGCAATATATAAACAAAAGGACTTAGAAGAGGAACAAGAGGAAAGGATGCCTTCAGAAGATATGTGATGGTAACAGTAAAGTTGGACCAGTCACACGATGAGGGCTTGAGGAAGGGCAGCAGACACACAACCTGCAGACTCCGTTGGCATCCAATAGCATGAGAACATGCGGAAGACCTCGCCTTCCTTCGGTATCCACCTGTGGCAAACACCAAGAGGACCGAATGGGTTGGCACAGGTGGGTCGTAATTGGCATGGCCAAAATCACTGCACATCACACCTCTTTGAGCGTCTGAGCATAGTTTAAAC